TTACAAATCGAACAATAGGTATCAAAATAGAACCCTCCTATTAATTACATAATATCTTATGACGCTTGAAATAATGGTTTATTCATAAAAATATTTTAATCCGTTGACTATCAAATTATTTAATTCTCTCAAGCTCCATTGAAAACGATAACTCATTGACGTTTGGATCTGAGTTAATTATTTCACTCAACTATAAAAATACATTAAAGACATAATGATCACTAACTGTTCCATCAGTTCAATTAATTTCCTGCTTTATTTCTACTTGCTTAGACTCCAAAGCTTCATTATCATTATAGGTAATTGTCACAGAGACTTTATCATTAGAGTAATGAAATCAGCTACAATCTGCACAATGTACATTGTCTGTTCAATCAAGTCACACGGTCAATTTTTTTTTTCTCCTCAGTACTTAAGAGCTTTTATAATAGACATTGCAATTCCATTATTACGTTTAAACGTTATGTTCTTTCATATTCTTCATAATTAACGTGGACTAAAAATTTGTTCTTTGTCAGAAAAATTTGATGATAGACATATTATAATCGTTAAAGGTTTGCAAAGAATTGGATATTTTTTAGTCGGGATGTATTTTTGTTTTAACAAAAAAAAACAATTAACAATTATGGAATGATTTTATATGAAATGTAATCTATTTAATAAATGAAAAATTAGGCGAAATCGGACCCATTACAATAATAATGGGTTTAATTTCACGAATCCCAAATTTTGACAAATCTCTCTCGCGTGTGTGTACGCATGATCGTTCTGAATTATTTTTCGCCTCAATTTTCTCGAGAACAATCAATGATGTCGACGTGAGACCAATTGCATTCGACGCACCATTACACAACTTAGAATTGATTAGGTTTTCAGCAAAATCGGTTTGGCCATTTTTTGTGCAGAATCAAAAAACCCCCAAAAAATAGTAAACTAGCTGCATTTTGCAATTTAGGCCAAACTTTCACGCCTGATTTCCTAACAATAATTATAAATAATTAATATAATTCTAATAATAGTAATTAATTGTAAGATAAAAAAAATCCTTCCATCCTTCCCATTGGGAAGTTAAAAAAACATTTTCTGGAATAACGGGGTAAAGTAAAATGCCCGAGAAAATGTACTAATGTATTAAAATAAGTCTATAAATCCTCTTTTCCATTTATTAATGCTTTTAGAATTATCAACATTTTTTGATCTATAGATTAATTTATTGATTTACGTTTTTTCTTCATGCTTTACTTTACCCCATCTTCCCCTAAATTATCTTTCTCTAATACGTGAATACACTCGAATATCTAGACTGATATATGTTATGTTATCCATAATTATCCGACATTTTTATTCATGATTATAATCATATCGTGATTTGATACGTAACATGAAAAAAAAACGTTTGCCAGATGTAACTTGATATATTTTTTTTTTTTTGAATTTTGCTTTTCTTTTCTTTTTTTTTTTTGCTGTCGTATCATCAATATGTACTTTACTGAAATTGTTTTGTTTGCAACCACAGAGAAAAAATATTTTTTAATTCCATGATAGATCTGAAGACGGTTTTTGTTATGTCTACAAAAGAAATCTGTAAAGAAGGAATTTTTTTTTTCAAAGTTATAAATAAAAATTACAAAACAAGAAATTGTGTTTCCACAGCTTCTATTGCAGATATGAATTTTCCCTGTAGAGACAACAAAAATCAACACTGCTGCTAAAACAGACATTCGATCTATTGTGACAACAGAGTATTCTTTTTAGTGTAGATAAGAAATTGTCAACTTCAGAATTGCTTTGCATTTGATTTTTTTTATGTTTCATGTTCTTAACAGTAGTTTTGTTCACAGTATTAAAAAAAAAAAAAAATATAAGCTAAAATTTATTTTTACGATAGTGATTAAATCAGTTGATATGTTTTTGTCGATTATTTGCAGCTGCTTTGACCATTTTAGCATTATTCTATTTCAGTTCAAAAAATATTCTTTTTAATTGGTAGTTTTTTACTTTTTTATGCTTCAAATAGCATATTCGATGATGCTTTATGAACTGAAACTCTTGAGAGAATTCAACAAAATTTCGTTAAATTTTCTTTATATTCGTTTGATAGTTAGTATCGATTGGTAAAAAATATAATACGCCATTTGTGAAGAATAGAAATTTATGTCAACTGACATAATATTCATCATTTTTACTTCCTGTTTTTACGACTGACACAAATCAACTGTAAAGGCGTATAATATTAGATTCAAGAATTTCTCATATGGTTTACGGTTTAGTACTGGTTTTCACAAATTTCATTCAAAGAATGGATAATCGATAGTGAGTCGCATCTGACATATTTCAATATCACAATACCTAGTTGAAAAGTCGAAAGGTTAGAACTTCATCTCACTAGAAAAATATTCTTACTCTCAATAACATTCATCCAATCAACTTCAGCACATACAAATCAATAAATGACGATCTTCAATTTTATTTATTTTATTAGAAATAAATTTTATGTTGGCATATTGCATTCGAATAAATATTATATCAATAGGATACACCGTTGGGCAAACAACGTATATCTTCTGTCTGTGAATTTACATAGAAATATGAAGTTAGCTAATAATTGGAATATATTAAAAAAATGAGTGACTTTCCTTATCGATTATTTTATCTACGCGAAAAATTTTAAAAATTAATCATTTACATTGTACATCCATGGCGCGCTTATTGTTTTTAAACAAATAGTTATCTTCATTTCGGATTTCACTTTATTTTGAAACTAAACAAAAATATTTTATTCTCGACACAATATTTTATTGATACAAGTAGGACTCTGTCGAATTAAAAATAAAAAATTCCTATACATAAAAATATATTGGGCAATTACTAATTTATTTGAAATTTACCACGAACTATCTAGAGGTTAAATGATGAATTTAAAAAAAATCAGTTCTCCCTCTTACTTTATAACATAAATAGAATTTAACCCCAATATTGTTGCATATTGACTGAATTAAAATCTGATATCTCCATTAAATTATGAACTGAATCATTAATTTCATCATTTAAAGCGCCTCGAGTGGAAAAATATAGGTATATAAACGTATATGGACCTTTGCACACTAGTTTTAGGCAAGTAAATAGATAAAATAAGGAAATACCTATAGGAAAAGATTCACGCAACAACAATTTATGGAATGAAACGAGATGAGGACGATTGGTTGAAGAATAAGCAAAATATTCGAAATTAAAAATCTAAAGCGATTTGACAGATTTTGGTCAGCCATATGTAAACGAGTAAAAGAGTTCGAAATATGAAATACAATCTGTCAAATCGCTTTGGACTTTTAATTTCGGATATTTTGCTTATTCTTCAACCAATCGTCCTCATCTCGTTTCATTCCATAAATTGTTGTTGTGCGAATCTTTTCCTATAGGTATTTCCTTATTTTATCTATTTATTTGCCTAAAACTAGTGCGCAAAGGTCCATATACCTTTATATACCTATATTTTTCCGCTCGAGGCACCTTAAATGAAGATAATTATCGGATTCATGATGGTTGATTAATGTGATCTCGAGGAAGTGCACATCTTTTAATCATTTTTATAAAACTTGTTCATTTGTTGTCTCTTTATGCATCACATTTGCATAGATGATACTGTGGATCAATGCATTTTCTCTGCTATTTCTGCTTGAAGTTTTTTTTCGTAGTTGACATTTTGATTATTTAGCCACTTTATAAACGTTTATAAATAAAAAAATTTAAATAATATTAAAACTTTGAGTAGTGTGCAAATAAACCAAGTGTATACATAGATCAATGATTGCCGATTTTTTTATGTCAGAGTACCAGACCAAACGAACAACGTAGACTCTGGCTACAATGCCTAAGGATACTCTGTAAATTATAAACGAAGACTCTAGCACGTCCAAGAAGGTATTCTTTTCGACGTACTATTCCCTTTGTCCTTCTACTTTTTTTTTCCTCTCGACTGCGTTCATTTTTACTTCTTGTCGCGATGAGCCTGAGGCTGGTCGATCTTTGGTACTGAAAGCGAAAAGTATTTCAACTTGAAATCTTTAACTTTATCTAAACATATTGCAAAAAAAGCTTAAAATTAATGCATAATAATATAAATAAATTGTCTCTGTAAAAGTGTTTAATTTAATCTATAATTTCAAGTAAAAAAGTGACACTTTTTTTAGTTAAAGCAATCAAATTTTGGTTATAAAGTGGGGTAGAAAAATAATAAAACTTATAGGTTGATTAATAGGAAACTTTTCTAAAATCGCAGCATATACGAGTCTTTTATTTCTCGATTGTCTAGAGAAAAGTAATTCGATTCTTGAGTTTATGAGCTTTAGGACGTAAAGTAATACTACTTGGGATATTTACGAAGAATACGAGAATAGAAACGATCGATTTGACAAAAATAATGTAACTTTTCTAGATGATCTCTAGGTTTTCTGTATTGATTTATTTTAGATTCTCCATTGTTTTATTATTGGTACAATTTTCAATTTATATATAAAATTAAATGTTCACTCAGTTTGTTTCACATGCAGAGCTATTAAATTACATAAATTGTATATATAATATATATTACGTTATTTGTAAAATTGACTTGGCAAAATAGATTTTATTTAACTTTAACTGCATTCGATTTCATTTCATATATTTATGGAAATTAAATGAAACTCTATTTTTTAAAATCAGTAACAAACAATTCACTTTTCAATTTTCTAGAGAATTAATTTTCCATTATAATTTTAATGTTAACTGAGTAAACTCACTGAAGTTATTTAATATTATGCATATATACAAGATACACACAATTTCGAAAGATTTCAACGAATCATAAATATTATTCTGCTATCGTATAATGTTTTTATCGAGTTTTTAGTCTAATCAAAAGTCGTATTAAGTAGAACTAGTCTCCTTCAAACATAACTCGCGGAAAGTTTAACACAGATAATCCATTTTAAAGCTTATTCAATTTAGATTCTCGTTTGCAGGTGGCGGTGCTCCTCCAGCGTTTGTCGTCAGTTCCGAGTGAGCTCATCGTTTTATTGGCAACCAAAAGATCACAAAGTAAGAAGTTAATTTCATTTTTACTATTTTTTTTATTATTATTATGAATATTTTACAATGATTAAAAATATACTTCAAAGATAGACACTTATACATAATGTTTATTATTATCTTCCGCTCGTTCATGGGCTTTAAATTTTTTACGTAACCGCTAATTAGACTGTAATAACATGTTTTTGAATTTCCGTGTTCTTAACATTGTAATCATAACTTATGAAAATACATGACAACGAATATTAACTTCACGGAAGAAATTTTTATAGTCAAAGTTACTTTAGTGTTTGAATTAGTCGAAGATATACCAACTCAAGAAATAATAGAATATGATCACGTGTGGGTCTTACTGCATTTTCCTACAGATTATCGTAATGTTTTTAAAATATTCAATAACAATGTAAAACTACTCTATTAATACCATAGAGCTACTCATTACATAAATAATAAGCAGATGTTATTTTTTCTTTCGGGCCTGAAGTTACTTTACTTATCAGGACGAGATTACACTGCAAATCCAAGTTGTAGACACTTTTAAAACACTAAACCTCTTCAATCTTAAATGCCGTAAACAAACTGTAGATTTTTCAAACACTACGAAACGTGTAAAAAGTGTCTACAAATCATGCAAAGTATCTTAAAAATCAAGTGGGTCATGTTTAGAACTCCAAGATAAGACCGAATTTTAATTGCTATTCGGGAAGTGCGTGATCACAAATAATCCTAAAGTAATGATAAATTTACTTGAATTTTAGGTTATTTGTACTGCAAACTTTTTCTATGTCTATAATTAATATAGGTATTAAATTCATCTTATTTGAATTTATTAATGGCTTTGAAAAGATACATGAACGTTCTAAAAAAGGGTATTGCAAAAAACATTAAATTTCTGTTGACGTAAGCTCTTTATCATGTATTTTAGTGTTAATTTCCATTAAAACTATTATTGTAGTGATGCAATTTGTGCTTCTATAATAATCATATTTCCGAATGAAGAAAAGTTGCAGAAATCTTATAAATTAGAGAATACAGTCGGTAATGACAGGAACAAGAATTCTTTTCAGAAATTAATAAACACGTATATATATATTATTATTAAATAATTTAATTACTTAATTTCGAAGTTATAAATTCTGTGTAGAAGTGTCTTACATCATAAATTTTACTAAATTTTCATATTTTCTCAAGAGATGATTCTTATCCTTGCTTGAACTACTTTCTATATTTGGGGCATAAGTTTTAGTGTTTTTAATCTTTTCAGGAATTTAAATTTAATAATAAAAATTTAAGAATAAAAAATAGTATTGAAATAGATTTTTTATTCAGTGTAATTGGAGTAAATAATTTTTATATAAATAAGGTTGATATATTATTTAGTGAATAAAATATACTTCGCATCAGATATTCCTGAATAAAAGCAATCGAAAGTTTGAAATTTCTTACAACAGAGAGCACTCTACCATTATTGAAAACTACGATCACTACGATTCGGCTTTAAGCAGTTGAAAGCCACAGACACATACCGATGTAAAGTAAGCTTAGAGAGCTTTGTTGTACAATATATACTCTTTGGAGAGTAATATCACGAAATGTTTTTACGAATCGATTAAACGACTTTTAATCAAAAGCCTAATAATCCATAGGTGGCTTTTAAGGAATTAAATAATTAATACGGTCGCTTTTGAAAGAAAGTAAAGATAAGTAATTGACCGCAATTATGGTTTTTCATGCAAATACAAATATTAAAATAAGTCATTTGTGAAAATGAATTGAAATAATAATACATATCTCAACTTGTTTCAATGATGATTGATGCGACGTATTGCTTCAAGTTAACAAGACAAATGTTACTATATTATTTGTAACCATACGGGAAACATTTTTCATGAGATTTGTTGTAGAATAATTTCCTTTGGGAGTTATTTGAACCAGTTCTAGCTTTCCTACGGGCTCAATCTTACTTTTCAAGTTAACCAAGTTACATCTAAAAACTGTCACCACGTCTCTTTTATTGCTATGTTAAAATCCTATAGTTCTTTGTATTTATGAAGTTGAATATTCTAAGAATATTACACTTATTATTAGAAGTTATTAATAATAGACAAAGTGTAACAAGTTATTTGGAATTTTAAATAATATAATCACTTTTCCTAGAAAAACGTTTTGTTAACGATCCAATACTTTCTTGTGAATTTTTTAATTTTATATTCCATTGTTTCGCGTGATAGACCATTATACTCATTCACAATATTATTATTTCGTTATCGTACCTTAGTAAGTATGTCAGGAAGAAATACATTTCCTATTAATAATATTTTGAAAAAATATTTTTATTTTAAAAATACATTCTCATGATTATAATTCATCGTATGTTGATTTTATTTTAAAAAGATATTTATAAATTCTGTTATTTATAATCATAAAATTAGCACCCTGACAACTTTATCATTCATTAATTGTTAGTAGAATTTTTTAAATCGCAAACCTTTTTCTGCCATCTTACTCTTCTCTTACATTTTTATAAGCTCAATATTGTAGGTTAGTTATAAAATAACATTGAATGCTTAATAGAAAAATTTTATCAATTTGAATTATTACAAAATATACCCATGACATACCCCATCAAATGAATTTGAAGCTCTAAAAAAGTATGTTTAGGAAAACCCTAATTATTCTTAGCGCAGATGATATTCTGTACTATTTCTTACTGTGACAATATAGTCCATAGGCCAGCCATAAGAGCTGTATGCAATTTTTTAAAAATAAAGGTAGACGAGATAACTTTGGCTTTTTTTATAGATTTTTGCTTGCTAATTACAAATATGTTAGTTATTTTTTTCTACCATGGTTAGTTCATTAGTTATAAACAATTTAATGTTTATTTATGCTTTTTTAGCTGAACTAATGAAGATACAAAAAAATTGTTCAGACAAAAAATGTGCATCTTGTAAAAATGAACAATTTTTGTAATAACTATTTTTTGTCTAACTTCATTATTTCAGGAGTTAAAAGCAAAAATTAATTTGTGGGCATAAATATCGCTCGGCGCCTATGGCTGACCCTTTTTTTTTATGTGCGGGGCGCATTCATTGCCACTGCATACAGTGTAGGTGTCATCCGGATTTTCAGATTCCCTTCGTTCATCATTTTCATACATTTAGAGTTCAATTTTGGGGTAGTTTTAGATTACCCATAAAAGATACAATTTAAAATTAATTGGTGAAAAATCATTCTTGGTTTGTTCGCTGCCTAATAGTAAAGTCCTAGGTGTTCTTCAGCTACCTATGATTATGTAAAAAATGAATACTTCCATATTTTTATTATTTTTCATTTTTATATTTTAGACGTTTACAAATTATTTAACAATTTAAGCATTCCTTAGTATTTGCACATTTACAGAAATTACAACATACGATATTTGCCGCCTTGCAATTGCACCTCATTGTATTACATTTTGTGCAATTGCAACTCGGTATTAAGTCATCTATGGGAGGGAAAAGATTGTACATTTTTTTGGGACACAATACGTCGTCGCCTTTCTCGTATCCAAAATTTGCAGGATCCAATTGAATGACTCCATCATTCAATATATTTACCTGATGATAAGTTATATAGAACGCTCGTAAGATATGATTCTGTATGGAGGTAGTTGTTGGGGGTAGCTCTGTAATTGTACACTTGGCTGCATGATGATATTGCGAGTACCTCAATTCATCAAATGTAACTATTTGACTTCCTTTTTTCAAAATTTGAATTAAGTACTCCTCTGATAAGGCTATGTCAGCGTCTATTTTACTCAGATCTACGGAAAAAATTATTAATTGTTAGTGCTACATTAATGTTAATTGTAATTTGACATGTAATTGTTTTTTTTTAACTATTATTAAAAAACTTTACAATTAACAATACCTGTGGCGAATGTTGATAAATATGGAACTGGATTGATTTTTAAAACACTCTGCTTCGTTCCAATTCTGCTTGTATAATTCGATCCTGTCAAATTATGTATACCTGGAAATAGTGGACACAATCCTCCATAATATTCGCAGATTAAATGGACACCTAACAATTTCCGTGGTTTACCTACTTGGTAATTGATCCACAGTTGCTAAAAAAAATTAAAAATCATTGTTATTGATGTGATTATAATCTTTATTTTCATTTAATTACAAACTTTCAATAATTTTCTTATATATTATTAAAATTGTATTACCTGAAGACCTTGCTTGCTGTAATAATTATACCAATAGTACATTAATAGTGGAAGATTATCAGGATTATCATCCATTACCAAGATGACTTTATGGTTTTGATTTGCTGCACTATTAATGGATTTTACTAATTGCTGCTCATTTCCTCCTATCCAATCTACGTCATCGAAACTATTTACATTTGTAATATTAGGCCAAAACATTTGATAGTTTTTCATTACAAAAGTTATTAAATAGTTTTGTAATAACAAACTATTTGTTTCCGTGAACCAAGTAGATTTAGGAATAAAAACGGAGTCATCAATTTTGTGGAGAATTACAGATGCACCTTCAACACTGAAAAGAGAAAAGTATTATTAAGTATAAATTTGATTATGATTCTGATACTTGAGAAGAAAATCAATGTACCTGAAATATTGTTTGGTTAATCGTGGAATTGTACTTTTATGTGAATCGGTAAGAAAATCAATTCCAGTTACTGTTGGTTTGATTAGAGTACTGATAAGATTTATATATTCCATACCGAGATCTCCAAATGTTTTCAAATTTTTCAGCGAAATTTTGTTCAATATACTCAATGTATTAATTATTATATTTGAGTATTCCATTTCTATTCCATCATTTTCAATACGATGTTCAATTCTGACTGCTTCGATTAATGAATTATCTGGATTCGGATAATTTAACTCCCCTTTATCAGTAGATAATGATCTGGTATTAATTCAAAAGAAAATAATCTTTTTAAATCATATCTTCTTTCTCTAGCCAAATCAATTATCCTTTGAGCATTTTGGA